GTCGCTTCCCGCCACCTGGGGAACCCCGGCCACCACCTTCTCAGTACTCGTCATCCATCTCTCAGCAGCCTGGTGCTGAATAAAGGAGGAAGGCTCTCTTGTAGCTGGTACCTATTATTTTCACGTTCTGATGTGTTGCTGCTAGGGAGGGTCAACCAAACGAGTATGGAAAAAGGAAAACACTAAACCTGGCTAGCCTTGATACCCTGCAAACATCTTCCGCGGGCCCACAGATCCTTCAAGAAAAGTATCGTTGCAAAATGTTGCAATAGTCACGTTAAGTCCTTGATTCCATTATTCCGCTCACAGACTTCTATCCCGTGCAAAACGTAGCACGTGAGATTGAATCTTGAAGCAAATGGGTTGACATGAACACAAAGCTGTTCTTTGTTATCAAATCAAAGCATGTTGTACATTGTTGTACAGTAAAGGTCCCCTTCAATACACTCTTCCGCCAACTGCAAGTGGGACAATCATGGGATCCTTCGGTTGGGTTCAAAAACTCTCTACCCGTCTAGTGAGCTGTGCCGGAAACCTTGATAGATTCCTATGTCGTAAGAGGGTGCTTACGCAACACATACCCTGCATGTCCGAAGTGCACGTTAAACGAGTACTTTTCCAAAATAACAAGTTTTACGAGTACCTTTGGTTTGCCGGAACCCAAGCCCTTTTATCCAAGCGAGTTCAACATCACCGCACTAATTGCACATAGAACCTGCAAAAATGCACCCAATGTTTAATTCATGCAAATAAAACAACTGTCCTGGTCACATTTTTCTATGATTTTCTTACATATTGCAAACATTAAGGGTACTAAGGACCTGTTACGCTCCAGTTACGCTCCTGTTACGGTTTTGGAAGATCATTTGCAGTTTTAGAAGTCTCCTGGAGGGGATTGTTACGGAACTGTTACGCTCCTGTTACGCTAAATAGTTGTCAACAATTCAGACCTCTTTGCTCTTAATGTCGAATACTTACCCTCAAAGCCACCAAGAACACCTGGAATATCACTCAAAATCGCCTTTGATTCCCTTCCAAACCACCTGAAGAGATCATGGACACCATTTGTTGCTTTAACGGAACTTTAGTGGGACCAAGTAAAACTAGGTTCTAACAAAGTAAATAGTGGTCATTGTCTCCAATTCTATATGAACAAGTTTAATGCGGTCATTGACTTGGAGGGATAGGTTTTTCTTACGCGCTCCACAGGTTTTCTTACGTGGCATGTGGGGGGAAGTGGATGCTTACGCCACCGTTATGCAGCCAGACTTCGCAGATTTTTTGCGAATCCGCTGGGAACATGCTTACGCGACGTGCTTTGTACAACGATAGGGCTTCAAGAGTTACTACTACCGAGGCCGCGCAAAACCGCATGGCGCAGTGGCATCACAAACGTCATTTGGCCACACGGTGTGCCACAGACTAGAAGCAACAGTGCACCACCAAGCCTCATGGACACCGCCAAGAGTCCAAGAGTTACTCCTCTATGGACCTGTTTTGTGTTGGCATATTTGAGCAGAGCGGAAGCTTGTCTGAAGTGTATATTTTCAGGCCAGTGCTGGCAAAAGGCTTTGGATTTGGGAGCCATGTGGGCTACCACTCAAGGACGCTCATGAGATTTACGTGCTGCCTACGCGGAGCTCACGCGCGCCTTACGCGGAACGTGCCATGACTCTCCTCGATTTTTGTGAGGTTCATGTTTCTAGTAAACACAGCAGACCTCCTCAACCAAATCTGTTCTCACATCAACTGCGAACTGCAAAACAACAGAAACACAAAACAGCTTACGCGGCGCCAAAAGCTTACGCAACCTTGCGCACTGCAGTGTTTTCCTTTCGTCCCGAGCTCTTATGACAAGAACCTTTACTCATTACAAGCAAGTGGGTTTATGGCATGGTACAAAAAATAATTACGCTATAGAGCGCCTTGTTATTATCACCGGCACATCCACGGAAGCAGCCATGCCCCATCTCTTCAGTCCGCATTTCACAAGGGTCACACGCCAATATCACGGCAAAAACAATCCCCATGCTCGCGTTGCTTTTAAACCATACTTGATCACTTGTCTGATATCATGGCTGTTTCAACCATACAAAATGCAGCGCCGAAACCAAAACTGATGCAGACCGAACCGAACCGATCGCAAAAACGCCGCAAATCGAAAAACCGAACTGAAAGGACGAATACGACGCCGCAACGAACCGATACCGAGGCAAGGAAAACACGCAAACCGACCGCCGACACCGAACCGATTGCGCGGCTGAGTCGCCAAGACCATTTTGCAACAACCTTGACTAGAAGATTGTCGGGAAGGTATTTTGGATAATGCACCAACTTCGTGCAGGCAGATTGCTTTTCCACACACACACACACCCTCCATTCAGCCTTCGTTTTTATAGTCCACTTAGACCGTGGATGTTCTTGAGCCTTTCTTCACCCCTGAGTAAATTCATTTTTCCTGATTGGCTAAATCCTTGGTCGCACACTGCAAGTCCGCAACAACTTCGATCGGATTGAGTCTCCGATTTCCCGGCACAACCTCTCCCGGCGAATCTGGGTTCGGGCCAACTAGATGTGGGCCCTTCCGGAGTTGCGCCGGGCACCGCCACCGACCAGCAAGCCATCTTGCTGAATGCCCTTGATGGCAGCGTGGAATGTCCTATGGTAAGCCATAGCAGGGACATCCTCCATGCCCTCCATGACAGGCATGCCGGTGCCGCGAAAGTCGGAGAGATCTCTGCCAGCGTCCTGATGTCGCACGTAAATGACGTCGGCGTTGAAAAACAAGTCGTTCTCTGTGCGAATGAAGCTGTTGTTGTAGCCTGTGGCTGCCCTTATCTTAAAGGGCCAGTAGACCTGGTTGATTCCCGTTGCCCTCTGATGACCGGCAATTGCAAGGAATTCAAACCTGTTTTTGTTGTCCAGTTTGGACGCCTTAGCAGACATAGAGCTGGAAGTTTGTTTTTCTTGTCAATCTACGGGACAGAGAGGGTTCTCTAATGGATTTTCACGAGAGAGAGAGAGAGAGAGACAAAGAGAAAGAGAGAGAGAGAGAGAGAGAGAGAGCGAGAGAGTGAGCGGGAGGGAGGGAGGGAGGGAGGGAGGAAGGGAGGGAGCGAGAGAGAGAGAGAGAGAGAGAGAGAGAGGGGGGAGCGAAAGAGGGAGAGTCACGAGCGCAGGGCATGGGCAATGTTTATACTGCGTTTAGAATGCGTTTATACTCCTTTGGCCCTGCCCTCTTCACACTTGAATAATTCACTTTCTTCATGGTTTGGGGTGAGAAGGGGTTACGCCTTTACAAAGAGAAGAGGGAAAGAGGGAGGGACCGAAAGAGGGAGAGCGACGAGCGCAGGGCATGGGCAAGTTTATACTGCATTTAGAGTGCGTTTATACTCCTTGGCCCTGACTGCCCTTTTCACACTTGAATAAATATGGCTTGAGGTGAGAAGGAGTTGGTCCAGTCTGAGACTATACCTGAATGGGTTCCGCCCTTAGCCTTCTTTAAAGTGGGTTTAGACACCTAAACATAGCATAAACCCGGCCTTTGCCAACATTCTCCCTTGGCATCCGCAGTCTTGGGTTAGGGTTGCGATTCAATTCGCAACCTGGGTTGCGACTCAAATCGCAACCGGTGTGAAAAATCGCCTGAATATGGTTTCCGCCCTTAGCCTCCTTTAGTGAGTTTAGACGCCTAAACATGGTATAAGCCCGGCCTTTGCCAACATTCTCCCTTGGCATCAGTCTTGGGTTGCGATTCAAATCGCAACCTGTGTGAAAAATCACCTGGACATGGTTTCCACCCTTAGCCTTCTTTAGTGGGTTTAGACCTTTTTGCGGGGGAAAGCACGAGAGCTCTGGTAGTGAGCCGTGAGCTCCTTGAAGGAGAAGCCTATGTGAGGAAGGTATAAGCATGGCCTAAACGTTGTATAAACTCTGCCTTTCCCAACATGCATGGTTCGTCCTTCACCCGCCCTTCCTGGAAGCTGTTATGTCTTATTTTTCCTAGGTCAACCCTGCAATGGTCTTGGTGAGGTGGCCGCCGCCCGATTTTGCCCTCGACGCTGCTGGCGCTGCAAACCGAACCGAACCTACAACCGAACCGAAAAAGGGAAAACAATACTTTCAATAATGTAATAGTATTGAACCAACCGAAGCATCCAACCGATAAAAAATTGACGCAACGCCAAACCGAACCGAAACCGGATCCTTTCAACCATGGATATTGAAACGTTGCAGCCACTCTGGTTTACCAACTACTGCCGCTGCTAAAATGACAAATCCGACACAGGCCCGCCAGGCGTTGCATGAGCGGAGCCAGTAGGGAAGATTTTCCCCATCTTCCTTTCACCCTCTATAAGAATAAAGCCGGAATGATTTCACTCCAGCTGATCCCCTCCATCCCAGTTGACGCCCAGTCTATCCAAAGAGCTTTGTTGTTCAAATGCTTCTGGAAAGAACACTTTCAGCACGTCTTCCGCCTGCTGCTCATACAATGTGTGGCAACTGTCGGCAATCAACCTTGCGCGGTCGGCAACACCAAAAACACAGCAATCATTCGACATGTATAAGCAAGCGCACTTCTGTGGAAGTTCAATGACGTCAAAAGTCAAAAGCCTTTCACGAAGCTGCTGCACCCGGTCATGCTGGAAATCCTTGTCACAATCACCGGCAAGCACTTCCAACCAAGGGCCTAGATGCTTCTTTGAATCATCTTCCAAAGTGAACCAAAGGCGACAAAAGGCTTTGCAAAGCATCCACCCATGGCTCAGCACCATCTTTGACGCCGGCCTCTCTAATGTTACGAAGCAGCCAACAATGAAGCCTGCACTTCTCCAAGGCCACTCTGAGCCAGCAATGGCTTGCCTTGCATTGCTTTGAGCACCCGTGGCCTGACTTTTCACAGACCGAGCAAGCTGGCAGCTAAAATTGGGCTCTCCTGCACCAATCCATTGGACGACCGCCGCTGAGTTCGAGGTTCAACGGACAAATTGTCAAGGGACCAGCGCCGCACAGCTGACGCCAGCTGCGCCATCTTTGTGTACTGTAGGGATAAGACATCTGGGCCACGCCGTAAAGATAATCGAACCAACGCAGCTGCTGCAGCTGTGGCTCCGGGATCATCTTGGAAAACACCAACTACACATTGGGCAGCGTGTAGCATTGCCCGGTTGATGGGCTGGCCTCCGTATCTCAAAGCTGGAAAGTTGCCCTGCAGCCAGAGCAAATCTTTTTCCAACGAGCGGGAAGTCTTCCCTAATGTGGCATTCAAGAAGTTCACCAACTTTCGCGAATACAGCAGAAATGAACTTTCAGTATACAGGCTGCCTTCAGCAGAGCACTCCAGGCTTGCCCTCAGCAGCGTCCCCTGGTTACTGCTGTCAATGATACGGACAGACATGTGCACCAGGTGCACTGACCTTGCCACTCTCCACAGCGCCGCTACGTCGGCCTGGTTTTCATCCCTCAGCGCGGTAAACATATTGACCTTGGAGCTCCAAGTCAAACACGTAAGCCAAGACTCGATGCTTCTAATTTTATATTGCTGCAAGACTTACCCTTGTGTCAAGGCTTGGAATTTAAGCTGGGGGAGAAGCAACAGCAGAGAAATTGAGCTTAAAAGCACAGCCGCCCACCAGACCGCGATCGCAAGAATGCTCCCCAATGGATATAGGATTTTGAGGAACTGGTTCGGCGTTGTCTTGGCGAAGGTCTGGACCATGGCGGGAAAAGACGGTTGCTTGCGCCTTAGAAGCGGCGCAGCCCCCCACAGCCTTTCCGAGGGAACCAATCTCACTGGCAACTGAAACGCTCACAAGGCACAGCTGCAACTTGTTGCTCATGTCTTCAAGCTCCTTGAAGCTATAAGCAGCATCTTGAAAGCACAAGTCCGGTGTAGCAGACGAAGTCAGCCAAAACAGCGTTCCACCTCCAACATAAGATCCATAATCTGCCAACGCTTTCTGACAATTCTCGACGCGCCAAGGCTCCACGACACCAGAACAACATGTCATGGCAGGGTTTCTGGAACGCCATGGCAAACTCACAAAAACAGCGACTGACAATCTAGACAAGTTTGAAACGGTGCTCTTTTGTCGTGCCCAATCTCCAAGAGCACTACTTGCAGAAGCATGCGTTCCTGTCCACAGTGACACGGACTCACGCAAGCGCACTTTCCTCCGAGGCCGCGCAAAACCGCATGGCGCAGCGACATCACAAACGTCATTTGGCCACCAAACCTCATGGACACCGCCAAGAGTCCAAGAGCTTCTCCTCTATGGACCTGTTTTGTGTTGGCATTACAATGAGCAGAGCGGACGCTTGGCTGAAGTGTATATTTTCGGCCAGTGTTGGCAAAAGGCTTTGGTTTTGGGAGCCATGTGGGCACTCACGGACGCGCATGAGACTTACGCGCTGCCTACGCGGAGCTTACGCGCGCCTTACGCGGAACGTGCCGTGACTCTCCTCAATTTTGTGAGGATTCTGTTTCTAGTAAACACAGCAAACCTCCTCAACCAAATCTGTTCTCACATCAAATGCGAACTGCAAAACAACAGACACAAAAAAGCTTACGCAACCTTGAGCACTGCAGTGTTTTCCTTACGCCCTCAGCTCATATGACAAGACCCTTACGCATTACAAGCAAGTGGGTTTATGGCATGGCTCTAGTGTAATCTCATCCCTCCAAAATTCACCAGAATGGCCATGAATCCTTCACCATTGGGCTTCCTGCTACCAGTTGCCGGAGTGAATCTAGCTTTCTTCCCGGAAACCTCCTCTGCCCCTCCCCTTACTCAAACACTCTCCGCCTCTCTCTCCACCGAAACCCGAGGCCTTCGAGTTTCGACCCATGGTCCCACGCTCCCACACCGCACCGCGCAACGTTAACTCGTCGTGGTGAAACGCGTCGCCTGGCGCAGGCGCTCCGGGAAGGTGGCGGAGAAGAGCAAGCACTGCCGATCTCGGCGAACCGCCTGGGAGAGGACCGAGGAGCGGAGGAGGAGAGGAGAGGGAGGACGTGGGGTGAATATATGGAAATGGAAGGAGTGCCAGTCATCTGCGAAGGGAAGATGTTCAGTGTACTTTTAAGATGTGTGTTGTTGTCACTCGGGCCAGAAGCCTTTTGTGGTTCTGAGATTGGCTGCGGGTCATGACAGCTACATGCTACCACCCGCTCGACGTATACATGATGGACTGGTTCAATACTCACTATACATGCTAATCGACTGGTCAGGCTTCAGGTTTTTAGATTCCGAGAAAGGGAGTCATGGCTCCTGTCCCATCTCCTGAGGTTCGGTGGTATTCGACTCCGACCCCCCAAGACCTCCCACCCCGACCCGCCCAATCGAACCGAAACGGTGGGCCAGGAGCCATAGCGGACTGCCATTGCCAGCGTTGTATGGACCAACACCAAACCTACCTGGACCCCCCGAATAACTGAAGGGGCCACACACGGGTTTAGTATGCTGGGTCCGGACCATGTGGAAATCGGATTCTTGGACAGTTAGCAAAGTGACAGGCCTACCAGGCCATCAAAGTATATGAGATTCCTCTATGCAGATCTCATTCTTCTTGTGCTTGGACGGCAACCACGGCTTGGACGGCACGCAAGGTGATCTTCCCTGTGGTGACCCACGTCCTCGTCCTCCCCGACTCCTAGGTCCTAGGCCTAGATTAAATTGGCGGATGCCCTGAATTCGCCGCCAATTCTGCCAAATGTGGTTGAACATCTATATGCAATGTTTTGGTTAATCATTTATCATTGATGGATATTGATGGCCATTCCAGTTCCTACACAGCTCCCGGGAAGGTTGAACCAGGTGGGGAGCCCTATGAGCGGCTGCTCATACGGAAAACAACAGCGGTTTTTGTCGTAGCAACAGCTGGAGCTCCGGGCTCAGCCCATGACAAGCTCCGCATGCAGGCTCTCGATAAACCCTATGTAGATCGGATTGATATATACAGCCCCCATGGATCCCTATGGATCCACTGCCACCTTGTCAGAAGGTAATTGGACCCTCCTGGCGCCTGCATAAATAGTCTCCAATTACCGTACCTGAGGTTCGGTGGCAGTGGATCCGGGTCCATCGGGATCCGCTCCCAGGTGGTACCTTCGACCAAAAGACTCAAATCATGTCCGTAGAATTGCAACTGAGGACACTGCACAAGTTTTGCTATCGGGTGCATGCCTCTAATCACTGGCATCAATTGGCATCAGTACATAAAGGGATCTCGTTTACCACTCATGACATGAATAGTCCTTGCCCACCAATCGGCACATATAATGCATTTAGCTCGCCTTGGCGACAGCATCCAGTTGTTCTTCGAATCCCAGTTGGAGCATCTTGTCTGCCTGTACTGATGCCACGTCCGAAAATCGCACGCACGCAGCCTGTGTGAACAACCCTAATTGTAGATGTGACCGCATTCATTCCGTGCTACTGAGTAGTACATCCGTACCGAATTTCGAGTAATTAGTAGCATCCAGACCTGGTCAAAATATGGGAGCTTTGTCGACGTTTGTTGATCATTCTGTGCTTACACCAGCGGGGTTGATGTTCTCTGCAGGTTCAAACATGGCAGAGTTTGTGGCAGTAAACACACGAAACACTTGTTGAACCTCTCCAGGTAGGTCAAAGAATCCTGCTTCTCATCTAGCAGTGTTTCATCTACTCATTGTCAGTTGGTTTTCTTGAACAATTCAATCACCATACCCGAACGCTTTGAATGAGTGACAAAACACGATCAAACACACATCAAAAAGATTCAACAAAAGTGCACTGAACATCTTCCGTCCCGAACCAGATAGTGACTTAAAGCGAGGCATCACTTTCCTCCAGTTGATAGCGACTTAAAGCGAGGCCGTCCGTAGCTCAAAAGAGTCTGAGACATATGTCGCCCTTCCACCCTTTCTGAGTTTTCCTGACTTCCGTTTTGACCTCCGCCACTGAGGCTTTGGGATCAGGCGTCCTGCGCCCAAAGAATTCCTACTCCCGTGCGTCTTCCAGGAAAACACCACCTTCCAGGCTTTCTCCATCCACCGATCCCGATCTCAACGACACCGGTCGGTGAACCCCGATCGACCCTCCTCCGAGCTGCCAGTCGATCCGAGGTCCCACCTCGTCCAGCACGAGAAAGCTCACGGAGTCCAGGCTCAAGGCGGCGAGGCCCAACAAGTCCAACCTCCGCGGAACCCGCCGCTTTTCTTCCGCGGAGTGGGTTCTTCCGCGGTGGGTTCTTGAACCGCGGTGCAACGAAGGAATTCGGCGCGGAACCGCCCGAAAGAGGCGGGCGGTGCGTTCAGTTGGGGTGCAGTTTGGACAACAAAAGATAGGTATCTTCAAGAGCAAGAGACACCCCCACTCTGTGGTAGGACAACAACAGCCAGAAGCAGAGACACCCCCCAAATGCTTCTTAGAGAGTGTAGTGATAGCCTCGACAGATGCTTCGTCGGCCGCGTCTCCCGCGCCGCTTCTCCCGCGCCGCATCCAAGGCGCAATCTCCCAGGTGTAGCGGACACCACCTGAAGGAGATGGCGCCAGGCGTGGCTTCAACGGATGGGGTTTGGCACTCGTTGATTTCTCATCGAAGCCTATATGTATAGGTCATATAGGTCCAAAAAGGAAGAGGACATGGACAGATAATTCTAAAAAGCCATAATAATCAATTCTTGTCATATAGTCAAACGGGATATTATCCGCGGGATTGGTTGGCTTGCATGCAACCCAAGAAACACATGGAAACACATAGGTGTCCATGTAAGGTGCCCTCATTCATTATTTAGTGAAACCACATGCTACATGCTGCATCATCCTCCATGGTCACCCGAGAAAAATAGGCATTTGTATTTTGCAGGGGAGCAGGTTCCATGGAGCATGGATTTGTGTCACATTGTAAACGCCCGTTTCGCTCAGGCGCTCAGATACCAATGCCATCGTTTCGCGCGTCTCATGAATGGCGTCTCCAGCCCACCTAAGTGCTTTGATGCTCTTGTCGATGAGGGCACCAAGATATATCATAATATATCATATTTCCCCTAACAAAAAGGCATGGGTGCAGTCCCCCACATGTTATGTGACACACGCAAGTGTTATTTACTATTGTTGTGGAGTAGTATACCCTTGGGTCTTCTTGATCCATCTTGATTCATTGATCCTTGACTTTCGACATCTTGTGACCCTCCGATCAACCACTGTTCATAACTCTGCGACTTTCTTTCTCTTCCTTGCATGTCATTCAGATCATTCCTCTCTGATCATTAGAAGGATCTCCACAAAACCCACCTATCTTCCCCGACTCGCTCCGCCTCACCGCCAAAGAACCGGCCGCCCCGAAAGGTTCCCCGGTCTCGCCTCGGGGCATCCGCCCGTGAGAATCTGATCCACCTGCACATCCTTCCCCACCTGTGTTCCACGTAAGGCGTGGATTCGGGCGAAGTTCGCAGCCGCTTCGCGGCACGAAGCGGCACGAAGCAGCTGAATGGGTGACTTTTGGGGGGATTTGGATGGAGCATCTGTTCATGATGCGTTTGGAGATGAGAATCCGAAAGGGAAGTTTTGGAAGAGATTGGAAGTATAACCTTTCTGACTCAGATGACCAGTAAGGATCCTAATGATCCTATAAGCTATAGATATCATTCGTAGGGGGTCCGATACGGGATCGATCTCCCTTGGGCCTTGTGTAGACTGAGGTGGATTTGGAGATTGGAACATGGACATAGAAGCATCATGAAGCACCCAAACAATATGGCTTCCCCCCTGGTAGGGTGAGCTATGGCGCGAGACGACCGGTCTGGATACGGAAGACGACACGATAGGGCCCGGTCACGGTCACAGGGTGTGACGGTGTGACGGTCGGTCCTCCGGTCCTGGCTGACTGGCTGACTTGGAGCTATTGATCCCAAAGAATCCATGGGACAGGTGCATGTCACACCACAGCTGAACTCAGTTCAGGACGGTCAGGTCATGGAGTTCACTCTAACTGCCTTTGCCTTCTAACTCTGGGCAGGTGAGTT